ACAATGGAGCTTCTCACATGAAATGAGAATTTGAAACAACTGATTTCAGAACAAAAGTTCAAGGTTTATGGTGTATGTTTATAGTGTACTTTTGTGTAGACTGTATTTTCAAAATAGGCATTTTTTAAATTAGGGGGTTTTAAAGCTGAATCGAAATCTTGAAATTTGTAAAACCTAAAGGCACTCAGAGAATGAAGACTCATCTTCACAATCCTCCCCAATTAAGCTCCTAAAAACTAGGCTGATCTTTGTGTCCATTTTCTGTTGTAGCTTGTTTATATCATCCAAGATAATCATCTTGACACCCGTCACTTGTTCTATTTGACCCAGAAGTTTAAGACAAGATGTATCTTAACATATTGTGACACATCTCCTCCTAACATACGGTCAGCAAAAATGAGGAGGCAGGTTCAGGGTGGTTAACCATGACATTACTTTATAGATCTGATGTAGCATGTGTTTATGGGAATTTGTATCTATACTAGACTCGAGTGTGTGTTTAGATATAGGGCTTACTTCTGTTCTTAGAAAAAGAGTCAAGGTTATATCTTGTATCCTTGGAGGTTCATTAAATATGATTTAGAGATTAAAAGATTTTCTCCGTCTGAAATAGTGAGAGACCTACCCACACATATAAAATAAAAATAAAAATAAAAATAAAAATAAAAATAAGGCTGTATGGGCAAAGAAGGAGGAACATCACTGTGTGCTGTACGGGTTGGACTTAAACTTGTCTACTGCCTGGGTTAGGGCTGTAAACATGCAGTGGTATCTCTATACTCAGTGACTTACTTGTACACATTTGTTATAGGAGGCTTGGCTTAATCAGTTGTGAGCTGAAAGAAGTAGTACAAATTGGAACCTTTTGTCACGAAATATTTAAATGTGGATATGATTTAATGGCTTTGGGGAGAAAATTTAGTGTGTGAGATTGTAAGGAACAAGAAATCGATTATATGTAAGAAAGGACTTGAACCTCTAATCAAGTATTACCGTATACAGAGAGATCCCTGGCTAGTTATAACTTAATTCAGCGGGGATAATGGTTAGATTTTTTGTTAATTTTAAGTTTTCTCAAAAAATTACGTTCCTATTTGCTCTTTATCTAGTTTTGCATAATACATGCTTACAATGACTTATTGAAAGCCATCGCTGTGTAAATACCGAAGCATATACTACACAGTATCCATACGCAGTGTGTTTTCAGTGAAATATAGGCATCTGTGCAGTTTTTCTTTACTTTTGCTGGGAGAAAAAAGCAAAACAACTTCTCGCTGAAAATTAACAAGATACAACTTGATATAACTAGTAGGAGTAGGCGAGGATCATTTAAGAGCAGTTTTCTGATTCCCTGTTGTTTCTATGACAGTGAGGGTAACCCCATGACAGTCACACTCTTGACTGCCGGTTTCTCTGATCAGTGCGTCTTAGCAGCTGCTGAAGGGCTGGACCTCCTCATTGCAAATGCTTAACATAAATGAAACAAGGGGTGGGGACGTCTCATTGAGAGGTAGCTCATGCAAGGTCCCGCACGTGGGTCGAGGCAATCCCAAGCACAAATACAGGCTGGGCGGAGAGTGGATAGAGAGCAGCCCTGAGAAGAAGGACTTGGGGGTATTGGTGGATGAGAAGCTCAACATGAGCCGGCAGTGTGCACTTGCAGCCCAGAAAGCCAATCGTGTCCTGGGCTGCATCAAAAGAAGCATTAGCAGCAGCATAAAGGAGGTGATTCTCCCCCTCTACTCTGCTCTGGTGAGACCCCACCTGGAGTACTGTGTTTGGCTGTGGGGCTCCCAACATAAAAAAGACATGGACCTGTTGGAGAGAGTCCAGAGGAGAGCCACAAAATTGGTCATACAGCTGGAGAACCTCCCCTGTGAGGACACGCTGAAAGAGTTGGGGTTGTTCAGCCTGGAGAAGAGAAGGCTCCGAGGAGACCTAATAGGAGCCTTCCAGTACCTGAAGGGGGCCTACAGGAGAGATGGGGAGGCACTCTTTATCAGGG